ATGTTCGTGCTTCTTTTTCTTTGGGACAGTCCAAAGTATGTATGGTTGAGTTACCCGATTGTATAACTGTCTGAATAGAGTCTATGCCTCTTGTACTGATGCCTTTGAGTCAATTTTCCAGTTCTCAGTCGATGCTGCGGAGTTAATTGCCCACATATCTGCTTTCCATATGTTAGGACGGGCCGGCGCAACTGTTTGACAGGCAATCTCAGCCATTAATTTGAATAAGATGACTGCATGGTCACTTCTCCCAAGTGGTGGGAGAAAAGCTATTTGACCAACATCACCGTGTGTGAAGACTAAATCTAAAATGGAAGAAGAGTTTCTCAAGTCATACCTTGTGGGATCTCTAATGTGTTGGAATAATGCTAATCCAATAGAGGTTTCTAACAGTTTGCAGTCAAACGACGATATCGATGACCCTACTTCTAAGTTAACCCAATTTATATATGGTGTATTGAAGTCGCCTACTACAAGGCTTTTACCGTTGTTAAACCAGGACTTAAGTTTACTTAGGAGAAAATCATCTGCTACACATTCTGGACTGCGATATACTACAACTAATTCAATATCTTGCCGTCGGCATTTCAACTTACATCTCACCAGTTTGCATGTCCCTGGAACATGTGCTACTGTCTCAGCTAATTTTATGGTTAGGGTACTTTTTGTGTACAGAATAACCCCGCCTCCCCTTCGGTTTAATCTATCAGCCCTACTGGTTATGAAACCAGTCAACTGGATTTCACTATCTAATACTTCTGATGTTAACCAGGTTTTCGAGACAGCAATAGCGTCCGGTTTTTCTTTATCCACCATTTACAGGAGGTTCGCCACTTTATTTAGTAGGCTGAGAGCATTTGTTCAGCATACCTTTAAGTCTGTGGAGAGCTTTCCCTTGCCACCCAGAGTAACTTGAAGATCGTTTTGGTCCGAACATTTACAACTTGAAAACCCTTAGGAATGAGGTTACGTTCCCCGTTTCGGCGACGCTCATTTATTTCCGTTTCTGCAGCTTGTCTCTTAATGCGATCAGCTAGGCTGAGATCCTCAAAGACATATATTCCGGATCCAATCAGTTTACGTGAATTACTTAGAATCAGGTTCCTTTCTTCCACCGTGTTGAATGTAACCTTCAGGAGGCGGTTTTTCGGAGGACATACAGAATCCATCTTTCGTCGTATTCTATAAAGCTTACAAATACTGACTCCTGAAACTGTATCTAGGAGTAGTTTATTTAATGATATCTTAATATGATTGAGATCGCGTTCAAATCTCGCCTTTGGTTCTTTATCTGAAGATTCTCTTATCTTATGAAAAATGACTGATCTCTCAGAGAGATCTGTCTTGTCACGCAGTGAGGATTTTTCTTCTGATAACATCTCTTCCAAAGCCTTGCTGACCAGCTGCGTTTTGCCCACAGCCTTTTTCTTCCCATTTCTTTTCCTCCTTACTGAAGTTCATTTGCCACCACTCAGGACAGCCACACCTGGACTATGTGGAACGGTGACAGTTTTATCCGGATCTCCTATTTCTACTAGAGGTATATGACTTCCGATGTCAATATCAATGTCAATATCATTCCTCGTTAATGTCAACGGAGACTTCACGTTCCCGTCAACCACAGTCAGATGTTTACCGTTTCCAGTAGCAGCAATTACTACACTGACACATTCTTCACCATCAGTGCTCTTGTTACCAGTGCTTCTGCCATCGATTTTCTTGCAGGCCAAAGCCCATAGGCCCATAACCTCCTGAATTAGTACCGCCAGCTGAACTAATCCAAGAGACTTCTCAGTAGTCCTTTAAGAGGAAACCTGACCTATTCTTAAGGACTAAGGATAATATGTTACTACGATTGACCAATTTCTTTTGCCTCTACTATCGTTAATATACCTGGGTTTCTGCCTGTAAGTATTGATGATCCATTGCTACTAGACACGGAAGCCCGTTAAGTGAAAGCTTCTTCTATTCTGTCCATAACCGTTTGAGCGATGCTAGACTGACCCTGAAAGTGTCCACTTAATAACCAGGACCATATGAGGGTTATAAACCTGTGTGAGGAATTATAATTATAATTCGCAGTTGATGACCAAGGTTAGGAATTAGATTTCGAGTTTTCATCACGAGCTGACATCAGCTATAATGCCAAAACTGTATTTATCTAAATGGATGAGTGAATTTCGCCCCAAAATGCAAGATCAGTTATCTTATACGTGGTTGGTTCGTCCATAAATTATATTCTCGCCAAGTTTACCTTGAAAGTAATTGTACCAATGAGTTTTCCTCATAATGTCTTATTTGAAGGATAATCTTATCAAAAAATGATTTCATTATGCTTAAGCAACTGACAAGAAGACATCGAGTAATAAAATAAGGGGTAAATTAGAGAGAAACACTTGGAGGCGTTTGCTTTTACACCTGTTTTGGCGAGTTTCTCTTTTTGTTGCTGTTTAAGAATATCGCTGAACAGTCTACTTTTGCCTTTTTTAATATACTCTTGATTTTACATTTGATTTTCCATCGTTTGTCCGACTAAAAATGTCCCATATGTTCGCCTTTATTTCCATAGCAAAACAACACTACGACTGTAATGGATTATGTTAAAAAGTGGCACATAAATAAATACATTTATTGAAAGGAAAAACATCAAACGGCACAAGAATATTAGTAACACACCGATGTTTGAGCAACGATTGTTACGTATTTTCTTAGTAAGTGCCATGACCTATTGTAATTTACAGAGATCTGCAAAAGAAATTGCAGGTTTTGGATTATTAATTAGGAATGTGTCGTAAATGATAAGTGCATGTGAAATCAGACAGGCTTTTACAACATTCACTTATAGAAAGAGAGACATCCGAGTAGACTACATGTTCATAATTACATGGTTTTCATAATGAACCGTGATCTATTCTTTAGATGACTGTCTACATTGATGTATAGGTCCCTTTGACCTCAACCCTTTTAATTTTCACACAACTTATCCACGGGTTAGAATAACTTATGGGCAGATTGCTACTTTCACCAGAAGGGATTTCTAACACTTTAAAAAGCAATCTCTGATTTATTTTAACCCTAATTGTGGGGGTTCAATAATATTCTACAGTAGCCTTAATACTGATCGATGTAGCTTCTGGACAAGCAATACTGGGGGATTTTTCGAGTGGCGTTAGCGCTTGGTCAACTGACACTGATGTTGGAGTTCCTGTTTTTTCAATCACATATTGTTTATATACACGTCTCGGACCTATTTTGTTCTAGTTCGCTGACAGATTTCTCGGTTACAACTTGGTATTACTCACTGATATCAGCATCTGTTCACCAGGTGCTATGCACCCATTTGCAATCAGATATATGGATTACAAGGTAAATAGTAACCGTAATGCTTGCAAACGCTTCATGAAACCACACTTATTATTGTTATTATTCACAAACATCTTATGGTTACATAAGTGTTGTGAAGAAACCATTTCGGGTTTCGTCAAAGATGCGATAATACACAACTGACCATGAAGAGTTATTGGAAGTGCATAAAAGTGCGAATCAAAATGAAGCAAATAAAGTGACAAAGAGGCTTGCCATGCACAAAAAGTTTGATTTTTTCCCGAAAAAAACTGTAAGCAACAGACAGTAAGCTGAATCAGGGCCTCAGCTTATTGTTAATTGGAGTGAAGTCAGGAGAGAAAAAGCAGCCAAGAACTTTGAGCTCGGAATAGATTCTTTGAATTAAAAATGGTACACTAGTTATGTCTGAATACTGTACATTGCATGGAGACAATAATTTACATTCGTGAAACTCGCATTCTTCAAATCGTGGTTCTATACACTGGGAATGATAGATCATAAATTTGTCAGCCAAAAAATTCAAGTGACTAGCGCGACCACTGTGGTGCATAAGTGTTTCAGTACACTTGAATATGTGGTGATTGGTGGCACGTTCGAATTCTAACAAATCGATTAGTATTATTGCAGCTAATGCTGTTTGATGATAAGCTATAATTCCACAGTCAGTCTTCTTTCTCTCCGTGTTCAAATACATCTCACAAAGACAGAACTTAAGTTCATGGCTGACCAATCCATTATTATACTGACTAACATATACGTAATCATCTTCTAGAACCTTGAGAGAATTATTCCCGGTAATCCGTAGTTCCATCCTACTGTCATCTCTGATGAACGGGATCACTTGAATACTCTTCAGATCCTTCAGGTTGTAATGCTTATATGAGATGAGCAGTAGACTTACTTACCATTTGAATTGTAGACACCTCATTTTTAACCGAGTGAACTGCAAAAATAACTTCGGCTATCCCCTTTAGAAGATTCAAATGCTAAAAAAGATTTAGGTGTTTTGGTACCCAATGATTTAAATCCTGAAGCTAATCGATACATGGATATCATAAGAGAAAAATTTGTACTCATAACTCTTGAGTGTACTTTTCTCCAGTTCGACGGCATTATCCTTATTAGTTTTTACAGTTTTACTCAGCTGCATTTAAAGCATGGAAATATAACATTTCTCTCCTCCTCACGGAGAGCAAGAATGCTGTGGAGTATATCCACATGTGAACCACAAAACTAGTTTGAGCACTAAATGTCAAGCCTTAGGAAGAACGCCTTAAATTTCCGGATTTTAAACCGTAAGAGTGTAGGCCATTCAGAGGTGACATGTCGACGACTAACGGTATCACAAAAATCGGATAAAATACCTGATTAAGTTCAGAAATACCACAAACTTGGAGGAAAGAAACAAAAATTGAGGTCACAAAGTAGTAAAATTTATTTTGAGAATACTTTCCACCCTTTAAGAGCCATCAGTTCATGGAGTTCGCTACTCAATGGAGTGGCTCGAGAGAATTCACAGAGATCCTATAAGAGGATACTCGACATACAGTCATTAAAGATAGTATTCAAAACTAGTCTACCAATACTTATATGGCTTTTGTTTAATAAACCTAGGTTCCTAAACAGGGACCCAGATCGTTCGTTACTACTGGAAACGCAAGCTCGCAAAGCGAAATCATCTTTAGCTCTCTCGACAAAGTAACTCTGCTTGGATATTGAAACGCTACCAACTTTTGAAGAGTCAAGGACGATGTCTTGTTTTTGTATTGTATGTCTCCTCTTTAAGTTAGTAAAACAATGAAGTAATATTTTTCAACATAGTGACGTATATAACTAACATTAATGTGATAGGTTTTGTTTGAACAGGAAAATGGTGTTATGAGACCTGAGGGAGTGTACTTGTATTGACGAGAAAAGGGAAGTAATATGGAAGATGGGAATAAACCAAAAATACCACGGCGAAGCAGTATTTTTCCTTTCGTCTGTTATTTTCACCTGACTGCGGCTGGATTTCAGATGTCCGTTTCCCTTTCTCGTTATGTTTGCCATTGATTACGGGTGCATTTTCTCTTTAACATACATATTTTCTCCCAATTCCAGACTGAATTACTCTAACAAACATCTCATTGTCTGTGAACATCATTTCAGTAAGTGCTCAGCAACATGACGGGTTGACCACTCTATGAAACTAAAAGCAGTGATTCATCGTAATCAATAAGACATGGTATTCGACGCTACTCAACCTCAAACGTCTGCTGTAGATAAGTCTCCGTCGGGAGAATTCCAAGGCTGGAGAATATAAGGTATCCGTAGTCACGAAACGTCAGAAATACAGTTTTCCTACTCATTCGAATTTAACAAAAACTATATTTATTATTAGTTTTCTACTTAATGCTCAATTTATTTGAAACATTCAAGTCCAACCTTGGCACTGAATAGTGGCAAGTTTAGATATATTTTATTCCCATCTGGGGTTAGCCTTTAAGTCAGATTGTCAGAAAATTCAAAATCCTGGTGGCTCACATAAATACCCCCGTTTTGGTCTTTTAGGTCGTCTTTTCAAATAGTCAACTTTCCTTTATTTTCCTGACAAAAGTCAAACTTGTATCATGATCATGTGGTTTTAATACTTACAGTAGCTGGTAGAGGATCTTGAAACACGTTAATCATAAAGTTACTTCCTTATTTCGTGTGCGGCTTATAAGTTTTTAGTGTCAGTTGGATTATACTGGGTCAACATGTGGTCAGTAATCACGCTGCCTGATTTTACAAAACCAGGAACTGCTTAGTGTGTGGTATGACAACAATGATGTGTGGCTCGTATTTGGTGGGGGTAGCCGATTGCTTAGTTAGTTCTCATAAGCTGTTTGCTTTCAAATGTATAGTGAGGGGTTATGTTTCGTAAGTACATTATAAGGCAATAATTTAAAGTATCCAGATGAGTTTCATCTGAGTCATTCAGTTTTCAAATGTTAGTTTTCCAATTAATTGTGGCTAAGGGATGAATTTAATGCTTGTCAAACTGATTTGGATTGAGCTCTTAATATTCTGATTTTATCTAACGCAGTTCATTAGTATGCAAATCAAAGTTGGGTTCCAACTTGTAAAATTAATTGATTATATTGGCTTTGTCTCGACTGTGGGTAATTTCATCCATTTTTATTTAATTAATTATAAAATCTGGTACAAATGGACAAAATCAAGGTGGGATTGTGAAGAAATAAGCGAGGGAAAGGGAACACAATCAAATAAGTAAATAAAAAGCATAGTATGTAGGAGTTACTGCTGAGTTAAAAACAACCAAGAAAAATTTTTCAGTCAAACGTGTTCTTATTTTGAAGAATTTAAGATAAAACTACTATAGTTTCTACGAGCTTCCATTCTGAGCTATGTCTGATAGCGTTGTGCCAGCTAGTGCTCAACCAATATAGATCGACACTGACCTCACCGGCGCGTTGTAAACTCGAACTTTTACAACCAGAATAACATAATGATGACACGAAAGATGGCCTAGATTGAGATGTAGGGCTCTGGCTTGGATAATGCATGGATTAATTTCATTTGTCGGACACGTGTTACGTATGCCCAACGACCGACTGCCGCGACGTGCGATGTTCAGTGGTATAGGAGTAGGTTGGAAGAAAGCTAGGGGTGGCCAGACTAAAACATGGAACAAGTCCATGAGGTCACTGACAAGTGGACTGAGTCATGTAAGTGTAGACTATGTGGTTGGGGACCGTGAGATGATAGCAACCGATGGTTAGAGACCCTGAATGACATGGCTCAAAATCGTTTGCAATGGCGCGGGTGCATCCACTCTCTGTGTTCTCCCAAATTCTAATCTTCTGAATTCTTTATGTCCCTTTTTTCCTCTTTCCAAATTTATTTCACTGGATTATACTCTTTGAATAACATCTCCAAACCCTAATCTTCCCGATTACTGCTTATACTCTTATTACCTCTACCACTACGGGATTTGAATCGACAACTGCATCTCTGTGCTAATGTGGTGTGGCAACTCGAACTGATGTACGTACGTACGAAGTTCTACGTTGTTACTGACTGACTGACTGAATTTCATTTGTTACTTAAACATCAGTACAAAATGACGTAGATGCACTGGCTTTTTAGTCGCTTTCAAAAGCTCATCACAAAGAATGAGTGCATAAAATTGTATAATCTTTTGAGTATATTGCGTTTGGAAATTACATAGTACATGCCGTACCTACAGACACTAAAAATTCATTAAGCATATTTTGGGTTCATTGTATATCGCCATACAGCAAAGCGATTCCATGTACATATTTGGGGTTGGAAAGTCCAGGTATCAGATGCACCACCACTGAGTACTTCCTTCAGAACTGTTTTTCAAGATGTCAGTGACGAATCCTTTTAGAACGATACATTCAGGAGATGTGTGTCGTTACTCTGATCAAGTCATTTGTGCAAAAAGCCTTAATAAAAAAACTCGTACGCGTACACTTTTTAAGCGGATGATCTGGGACTTCAGTTTTGTCCATTGAGTCAAAGGTAGCCCCGAGCTGAACTAAAACAGTGATTGTTGAATTCCAGTAAGTGGTGTCTCAGGCTTTTGAGGGAAGAACACGATTAATATATTCACGACACAAGCAAAAATGGGCCTGTAAATGGCGAGTCAGTTTTTCACAATCTTTGCATAGTTTGTGGAGTTTGACGCAATCAAATATTGTGAACGCAGTCGAAAATGAAATCATCCCCCGGAAGTTTTGGGAAAGAACGTAGGGCTTTTTTAAAGATGGGGACGACATCGCCTTATTTTAGGATGTTAGAACACTAGTTCCCAAACCTTTCCAAACAACCTAACCATTTTTATGACTAGAGGTTTACCATCTTCCTTTAAAATAGCCGGGAATACGTCATCTGAACCCGGCGACTTGTATTGCTTTACAAACTAGAGCTCCTTGGTGATCGCTTCATTAGGTGTATCAGTAGTCGCGAACCTTGGAGAATAGAACGGTCTTTTTGACATTGTTTGAGCAACAGACCAACTCAGTTGTTGCTCAAAAACAGGTCATCATCCAAGATGCCTTTGGATGCTAATAAATGGTGTGCCATCGACTACACAGAGCGTTCCACTTAGACCAGGATTGTTGCCGGTGGGCTCGGCCGTGTTGAAATGGCTTCTGATAGTTATCAGATTCAGCTTTCACTTCCGACGTGTTAGGACGCTTCGACTACTGAGTTACTTGATCCGTACACAAATTTTGGAAGATTTCTTGAAGTAGAAATCTAATTGTATAATCAAACGTTTTACGGGAGTAGGCTGGGGTACCTCAAGGCATAAAGGCTAGTCTTCCGACATATACTGTGCTTGGTGTTTTGTAAGTGAAAAATATTCCGAATATTCAATACATAATGTGTTCAAACTAGATATAATAACGTTGATGCTATCAAATATGAATCAAAGTAGAAACCAGTATTGATCATACTGTAGTTTACTATTAACGTATAAACTTTGGCAAAACCATCTGATATATATTTCATGGTTGTATTGTGTGAACTGTATCCTTTTATATATATCCTTGTTTCCTATCTCATACCATATAATCTTCCCTCTTTTTTAACGTTATTTCAATGGTCACTTTTCCTTGTTTATAGAGCACCTCAGATACAAGACTAGGGGCTTATAATTAATATCGTACTTCCAATTTATTTATTATTAAGAGGAAAGCATTAAACAGTAAAATTTTCTGTACTCTACCGTTGGTCACACTTATTGAAGTTTTGGTACATCAGTTGCCTCCTAATATTAAATAAAATAAATGAGAATTCAAACTAGTTAATTAAAAATAGAAAGTTGAGTACTTAAAGAACCAAGCTACAGTTACAACCTTTAGTAACACTAAACCGAAGAATGTGCAGTTACAGAATAAATTACTTTAGCGTTAATGTAAAGCTTGAATCCTTTATACCTATGTTATCGCTTGTTGTCTTAGTGTAAGTTGTGACAATAAGGTCTGTTGTTAGGAGCTAAATATAATTCAGCATTATTCTTAAGTTTTTAGGACTGCTCATGGATCAATGTGTACAGTAGGTAAATGGATTCAGACGTATAAAGTGGAGAGACGGATGTTTATTCGTTCAGCTTTCCATATGGGCAGAAATTTAGACTTTCAGCAACTAATTTGCTTTCCGGTTCTGTGGAAGTTTTGAAACGATGCTATAAGCACGGTTATTGGGATTAATACAGTGTACTGAGTTCTCTGTGGGAATTACCGCGATTATTTTTGTCCCATTACTTAATAACTTCTTATTTTTGTTTAATAAGATTCCCTCTAGTTTACCTGTTTCTCTTTATAAAGTTCGTTAGGAAGCAGGAAACATTGAAGTTAGTTAATTTTCTACATGAAACTTATTTCACTGTTGACTTCAGTGATTAGTGAAATTCATCCGTTAAGGTTGAGGAGAGCACAACAAATCATGTCTTCTGCTTGTCTATATTTCTTGATTGTTTAGTCTATTGAGAACCACTAGTCACTAGCTCAAAGTGTGGTTAGCATACTCTGCATTGTTTGCTATATTTTAGTGCTTTTGGCGATGTTTCAAAAACAGGCTTACAGAGAAAAATGCTGAAATTCTTAAGAAAATCCTGTATTATATCAGTAGTGCAGATAATCAAACTAATGAACAGGTTAGTTAGAAATACACATTTATAATACTGTCTACCATTTTAATCTGTTTGTGACAGCATATATCTAACTTCCGAATAAATAAATAATTTTTCTCATGTTTGTCCATAGTATGACCAAGCGTTAATTCAACTGTCGTGTAGTTCATCAGTCCCTTAGGTACATATGAACATAAGTTTCTCGACGTCAGCGGTTTTGTCACAAAAACAAACCGCGACATTTCCATCTAGGCTTTAATTTCTGATAATTTCTTGACTGCCAGATCTTTGGTCAAAAAGGGAGCAGTAGTGAGTGATGAGATGGGAGACGCAGACGGCAGATATCAGCGATAATAGAAAACTGTTCATACTTACTGTGGAAGTGGATTAAAAATTTATGGTAGTGAAGAAAATGTAATTCAGTGATCCTCTTTGAACCCAAACGACCGAGACAGCTCCGACTCGTTACTTTTCGGTTGCCTGATATCAGTTAACGACCTGAATGGTAAGTATTCATTTGGCTTCCGAATTTCGGTATTAGTAGGATAAACCTCAAGACAGGTACTTAATATTCACTCGCATTTGGTCAGCATATGCTACCTGTGTTTGTGGGTTAGCTGAGTGTATTAAAATAGTGAGTTTCAGTGATTTACTAGGCACAGGTTTTGTGCACAAATTAGAGCCACGTTGTTTCAGTCCTAGTGATACTACTGCTCGGCTGCCTAAATTAAAATACGTCAAATGGGGTTGAAACCTTAAGCTTGCTTTTTGGGGACCGAATTCTTGGAATATTATTCGAATGTTTCAGAAGGCGCCTACACACGGTACAAGTGTTCAGTGTATTACCGTACTGTCGTACGTTGTCTGCAAGTTTTGTACTACTTAAAGAACTTACTGAGGAGGATAGTGAGGACATAAGATCAATGATTTTATATAAGTCAGCCGATAAATATAAAAACACTTGATACAAGTTTTGGGCCTTCGGGCCGAACTTATATAGTGTGGCAGTTTAGGCAAGTTCTCATATCCTCCTGGATTATGGCTTGTTGACTTCTCTTATCTATGTACCGAATATATTACGTGTATGTGAATTAATTACAGGGTTGGAAGAGTTGCAATTTAAACAGATAAAAAACATGTGACTAGTAACGTGAAGCCTGTGATCTCTTTGGAGAGTTACAGGAAAGCACCGGTTTGGTCGAAATTCACGAGATATCAAACAAATGTGTAAAATTATTAAGTAATACTCCACAAAAGCCCTAATTGCTAGAGATTCCTTAAAATTCTTTCTTGGAACTCCGAGTATTCAATCACTTTATACTCACAATATTAGATAGGATTTAGTAATCAACCCTTCGAAAGTGAACCTAATGTAAAGTGAATCAAGTAGGGTAAGAGACCACTCCTAAAGATTTTCACGTGTTTTAGTAATCCTTAAGATGGCACATATGATACCCTTACAGTTCGTCATTAAACTCAGATTTGAGGTTTATAACTGTTATTCTTATGATACAATTGCCTATGCGTTCCGGAGGATGATGTAACCTTTAACCAACTAAATATCTGTGAATTTCCCCTTCTTACTGCGGTCAAACGATCTCATTAAATAATCAATGAATCCAGGACTTATGAAACTTCATTCTTAGCTTTGATACCCTAGTAGTTCTAAAATAAAGGAAACATCTCTCAAACTTTTTGATGTTTTTAAGCTTAGGCTAGTTGACCCGAAACCATTAAAATTATTTTATCCTACCCTTTTAAAAGCTTCCTAGAGTTATTCGAAATATGTTGATTCACTATAATATCTCTGAAGCAGCACTTTCGTAAGTCTATTTTGCTTTCTCTGGGACATCCATATACTATGTTTACGTGGACTTATAAAGTTAAAAACCAACTACCATGCGTAAGTCTTATGTTCGTATCACTTATCTCTCCGTTTGGTCGATAAGTAGTGTCGAGCATGTAGTGTGCAAACGTCAGGTATATCTTTACATTTCATTATATTTGATAGTCATATAGCTGTAAAAATGTGAAACCAAATAAATAGTGCAAGTAAACCAAAGCGCGTTACTGAATAACCTCTCGATAAAATAACTAAGGTTGTATCTGTTCGGACTCGACTGTCAAGTTTGGTGTACGTTGTTTAGAGTCAGTGGTCTAGGGTTTCATTCATTATGACTTTTCCTATATTCAGTAGACCAGTTTGTTGTTAAAAAGCATGAAGTCTGTGATATCTAGGTCTTTATAAGCTTTTGTAATATATAATAATAAATGATTATATTTCTTTTCGCCTTTCAAGCTCAACTACGTAATTCAGGAAATATACATGGTGATATCGAATGAATATACGGATAGTACTATTTTTCTTGAAAAGCTGAAAAGCACCATAATAAAGGGCAAACAATTGCATAAATCCAGTCATGATATTAAGTAAGTAAATTATATCTCGTCTCTGTAAGTATTTAAATAAAAATAGTGGAAATCTGTTTTGTCTGATCGAAAGATGTTAAAATCCAATTTTTAGGATCAATAATCAACATTCGAATACTACAAAAGGACATAGGAAGTCGGAGAATTGTTCTATGCAATCGTTTCCTCAGTCAGTAAATAATTCTAGTTCTCAATTTTCAGAATACAGAACTGATGAGAAAAATTATGACTTTTCTCACTCCCAACTTCAGTTAGTTTTGAGAATGGAAGGCATCCGTGATTGGCTCCATTTAATTGCTTCATGTGGTCTATTAAATGAACTTGATCCACCACTTCCACGTATTTCTTCTATAGAAAGGCATATACGGATCGGATCTTGGAACCTTAACCGCTTCGATTTAAGTAAAGCTAAACATCCAGGATTCATGGAAGTTGTTTGCCTGACCATTTTACGAATGAACGTCTCATTAATATTGCTTCAAGAAGTCTCAGACCCTTTAGTTGCTGATTATGTAAGTTGTCTTTCGATACATTGTTTTGGATTGTTACAACTAAAACATTACATCAGCTCTCTTTTTGACGAATGTACGAATAATTACTGGGTAAAGTATCCTACAGGTTACTTTGGACTCATCAAGTTTATTTCATAGCAAATCCTTTAAATAACAGTCATTGATTTTGTATGGTTTACTGTCTTCATATTTTGTTATATTAGTCAGTGTAACATTTCAGACCAGTAATGCACGTGATTACAAGGTTTTTAATTTAACCAAAAATACGTACGTTATTTTTACTCTGTATGTGTTTATAGTTGCTAAGATAACATGCCTTTAAAGTTTATTTATTAGGGGTGATTCGTGTAATTATTGGTTTGTTTATTAACTTTTGTCTGCACTTTTGCTCGACCAGTAGCGTATTTCTTATTTATGTATTTGCGACAGTTTTTCGTGTTCATTATTTTCCTGAGAGTTGATCTGTGGTAACCAGTCTGTAATTTTCATCTGGTCAAACTGCAGATGATCGAGAACTTTGTTGCATATAGGTTATACAATAGTAAATAGATAGCATTCAGTGTACAATATTATTTTCAGCTGGCTGGTTTTTTTGAGAGTGGAATGTACATATTTATCTTCTTGAAATCTTAGAAAGATAAGACATGGATTCGAGTTGTTGCATTTCGAAATAATCCACCACGTAAAACAGAAAACGGTAAAAAGGAATTAGGAAAAATAAGTATATTAATAAGACGTGAGGGTGATTGTGCCTGAAGGATTACAATTTTAGCTTATATATATGATAGATATGTTTGCACCATTGTGTCTGGTTTTGAAATATTTTGCATAGTATCTTCAAACATCCGCCCTAACTATCCCACAAATCCATGCCCGGACTGGTGACGAGCTGAGATAATAATCACAGTTAATGTAAGTCTAAACTCTGTAGTACATTTAGTTTAAAAACATGGTTATTTTGACGATTCTTCTCAGCAGTATTTTATCAAACTGTATAACCTTTTTCCTCATTTTTATCCGTACATATTGCTGATCATTCTAGCTGTGCAATGAGCTAAATTATCCATCTCTTCCCCACGTAAAACGATGGGTTGAAAAATTTCCTCTGTCTACTCCCCCGTACTGGAAAGCGTCATGTTCGATCCAACCAACTGGTTCCATGTTCCGTGCAAAAGAGTATGCCGTTTTTCTATATAATTCTCGATGTGGTATTCGGATTTCTCGGACAAGTTTATTGGAAAAGTCTTCGAACTCATTACCTGTTTCAAGAAAGTCGTTTACACGCAGTCCATGTGGAGCCTCCTGCCATGTATGTAACAAAAGGTGTTTAAAAGCAGATGCTAGTTTGAAAAAATTTCCTTTGTTCAATTTAATATGAAACCATGTACCATGATTTTGGCTGACCTGATTAAACTTAGTGATTTACAAATATTTAATTCTTCTCGTAGGCTCACTTTCCAGTACTGAATTGCTTATTTTTTCCAGCGTTTTATTTTTGGTTTTTCTTAACCCTATCGCCTGTAATATGCTATACCTTTGTCTGTGTAATTTCATCTACTTTTCTTCTATTCAACTACTTATCATTTTTATGTTTTACATAGTTTCTAAGTTATTACTGAGTAACCTATTTCGTCATAAACTTGAGAAGTGTATGTACGTAATATTCGAGAAACTTGATTACATCATCAGCCCTTATACAACAGATGTTACCCATATCTCTTAGGATACATGTGTATATGTTTATGAAGTGGCATTTATTTTTGTTCATCAATGAGCTAGTGAGGATCAAAGGCAGTTATTATATTATTTTGATATGATTATTACACGTAGAGTCTTACTCTTGAAATGTGTTAGGACATCGTCACTCATTTTGTAAATATGTACAACGCCACCATCTGGACATCAACCGCTATGTACATGGATTGTTTTAATTTACTTTCAGATTCAACATATTAACTTAGTTCTCATTTCAGTACATTTGAAGGCAAGTGGATTAAGAAATAGTCAAATTGGCAGGACTATCTCAGAAATTGAATCTCTTGGTTATCTTGTTCAAGCTTTTTATGAAACACAACCTAGTAAGTATACTAGTGTTTGATTAAATGTTTTCGTACGATTGTCGAGGGCGAACAGTTCGAAATTTTTAAGTGTGAAGATTATTAAGACTATCAAGTCCAATGATTCTTGACTTTTTGTTATATTTGTAGTATATGACTAAAGGAACTCATTGTTATTTTTAACACTAACAAAGAATTGTTTTTTGCTTAATAACTAGTTATGTTATTCAATGAACAGTAGTTCTTAAAAATATTCACTTCATAATGTTTTGGATTTGTGGAATGGCTGTAATCAGGGTCGTCCATTTTCGACCTTTAGATTTAATATGTGTATCATTAACCGATAACTCTTATGAATCTATGATACCGACGAATAGATTTTGACGTACAAAAACTGGGATAATGTCAGGGAAACAATCCTAACTTTTTGAAAGGCAAACCAACATATTTCGATCATTTCCGAGCCTTAAGTTTGTTAAATAACTTACACGTATTTTTTTCACAGACAAACTTCTCTACAACGTATTTCCAAGTTAATATGAATCGTTATTTATTTTTCAGGGGGAACATATCTCATTATAGCTGGTGATTTCAACCTCTTCCCAACACATGAAGGTTAGTTTAGATCCATAGTAAATAGGAACTATGTAACTGATTAAATCTCTCTGAATAGACTTAGAAGTAAATCATATGTATTTTGTTATGCGAATTTTTCTACGTGAAATAACTAGTGAAAGTTTTTCACAATCTAACCGCGGAATTTTAGTGAGACTGGCAATTGTAAGCAATTTATTCTATTTACGGACACATCGCTTCACATAAAATGTATTGCTATGCAGATGTTTGGGAAGTTATTTGTTAATACGTGGATCTACATAAAACAATATCCATCTAAAAAACTCAGAAAAAAACCTAAAATTCGGTTGTAACGCTGGTATTCATGGTCTTCAAGTTAATCGTAGTCTACTGTTGTGAATCGATAGTGGTCAAACTATTGATAAGTTTTGTGACAGTATCGAGATATACAGGTAGGTTCTGAATTTTTCTTACAGCTTTTCCCTGAATGTGCGTTACAGCTAGAAATGACCCGTCTCTTACAAGTTCTCTTGTATTACACTTAACTAGCTTCGTCAATAAGGTGACGTTATTTACATGTTGTAAAGAAATGCAACACCTATTCACTTTGTAGTTTGTGTCCACCTATTTTGTGATAATAAATGATTTTACTGGGTCGCATAAACCTCATATAAAACAGAATTTGAACACAACCCGAGCAGTTGAAAATGATAATACTGAATAACTGAAATAAACCAGATATCTGGCGGTTGATTTTCTTACTAAAACTTTCTTGGCAAGTACTTGTCGTCTTCATTCAAATAAATAAATTACGCTATTTCCACGAAGTAAATTGTTAGCATAACGTTTTTAAACTTACTCTCGAGAGATCACATTTTACAGGGAAGATATTTTCTCACATTTCCAGGAAACCAAGAACTCCATGTTTAACTAAGATATAATGAAAATCATATCTGTTTCTGTATTCTTAGGAACGACTAGTCTTAGTGCAAAGTAGAGTGTAGTGAAATTTCAGGAACAAAGTCAAGTAGTCAAAAGTTATGTAACATTCTAGTAAAAAATACCATTGAGTCACTTTCTGAAGGATTACATTTAACCAACTAAATGTATTGTATCGATTTAGTAATGGACACTAATACAGTAAGAATTTTTATCAATTAAACCAAGTTACTTGCACGCGTCATATGCAAACGTGGAGAGATACAAAGTTTAAAGAAGAATGTAGAGTTTCTACGGTTATTGAAGTAAATGTCATTATAGATGTTGTCTAAAGAATTCGCTGCTGAAAGACATCCCTGGAGGTTTAAGGCTCTCACGACTGATTTGTAAGCTACACTATTTACGATAATTAACGCTTTGACAGGAATAAATTCACAAGAACTCTCTCAACACAACCTGAATATATTCATCATTGCACGAGCCTCTATCTGAATAATTCCAGCAACAGTTCAAAGTTAGTTTCATAATACCTACCTTAAGTAGCAATTTTGGTTCTGTTGTATTTACAAATGAATTATTTTTAGCAGTAATTATTGTGTTAGAGAAGAAGCACAGTGTTTATTACAACCACGTTTTATATGTATTTTCGTTTTATTGACTAGTATTATTTTTGATAAAAAGATTTTCTAAACTGTTATCGATTCATCCTTCCCACATTATTGGAGGCAATACTTTAAGAATTTCCCAATTACATAAACGTAATTGGATCAATTAATCTTTTATGCCAGTTAGATGCAAGCACTCAGATACTCCTGAGCCGTTATGAATTTGTATTTAGTACACTTATAGGTTCATTATTTACTTTCGCTTGTACATAATTTGAACATTACGCAAATAATTTCCATAATTTTAATTAAAGCTCTCATCATTGTTAATTTAGATTCGATTTATTTATTGCCTCGTTATGCTGATTATCTCTACTTGTTTATTTAAAAGTTTATCGGGTATTACGTGAACGTGGTTTATGGCCAGTACTCAAAGGTGAACAACAAACTACCATGAATTATTCTAAGTCCAGATCTAACCATTTTAGAGCATATGACAATGCATGGCTTTCTGCTAACCTCTCTTTGACTTCTGAATCGACTATTCGTTGGACTGGTGATTCTGGTGTCATATTAAAAGGGCTCAGACATCCTTTAATTCCGGAGGAAACAGGAAGTGGTGCAAATGGTTTTGTTAGTGATCATGCTCCCATATGGTTTGATATTCACTTAACGTAACAATAACCTGTATTTATGTATAATTTTTTATTAACTAACTTATGATAACGTTGTACATATGTACTTAATAATAAAGAGCATTTATTTTGATAGCTTGACCATTAATCTTCTGCCCCGTAACCGAAAATTTGTTCACAGTCAAACCAAGATTTTTCGGTATCCACCTTGTAAAATTCTTCTGTGATTTGACGGCCAGTTTTTCGTGGTGTTTTCCGAATATTAGTCACCTAAAAAATATTTCAATGTTTACTTTTGCTTGTTATGTAGGGTTTTCTATATTTGCAATTGTGTATCAATTGTTAGTCGAATTATTTGTACATATCTGTATGTTAATTAATTGACATTGGTACCATTTTACTCGTTGTTTACAACAATTACTTATCTCAACTGTTTCGTGCTTATTACATTAAGGTCTCCAGCTCAATATACTGATCTACTTGTCACGCTTTCCGCGTATACTTAAGATTTACCCCTACTCAACTTTGTAAATTATTCCTTACTATGCTTTACAACGCTTAAACAACTTTGTCATCTCTTTTCGGCCATTCGGACAACCTCGAAATGGTTGCTATTATATATGTCATTAAAATAACTGTAACTCAATATATTGGAATTCTTAAATACTCAAGCAACTTACTTTGTCAAGTGTTTGAAGATTTTGAATTGTAGGTGTATTCATTGTGAATGGGCTCAATTTCTTAAACAATGGAAATTCACATTCTTGATTCTGATAGCTTGGCTCTTTCTGGTTGTTCATCAGGCTTCCATAATCAGGGGAAGCGAAAAACACTCTCCTACGTTTGGTAGCTGAACCTGGTTGTTTCAATATACTCTTCGGGGTCTTAGTAGGCGTTTCGGCCATATTCTAAGGCGAATTTTTAATGTGAACAAAAGTTTTCCTTACCAAATTATCTAGTTTCAAAGATAACGCTGGTGATTTGGGAGTCTGAGTCACCTTTTCGTGAATTTCCTTCGGGAGCTGAGTACTAGCAGGTGGAGAGTTTGCATAAATTTGATGTTGAAATTCCTGATATTCCTTTTCTACACATCGAAGTTTCAATAGTTCCTTATTATTCTCCGCTAAGATCTTTTCTCGTTCAATTTGATCCTGTTTCATTCTCCTTAGCTCTTCATAAAGCCTTTGTTTTTCATCATTTGCCTCCCTCAATTCTCTCTCCTGAATGTCAGTATTAATTTAGGTAATACGTCGCATACTTGATTTGTTGCTTTTACTTCCAGCTTCTTAAATTCTTGCTCTTTTTTCATGAGCTTCTTTAGAACTTCCTTCTACAGTATATAAAAGTGTTTTAATCAAAGAAATATACTGCTTAACGGGAAGACTGATTTACTGTGAACATGTTTTTACTGCACAATTGTTCGTTTCTGATGGATATTTATATCCATAGTTTGTTGATTGCACGTAATCCACGAGACTTTGACGAACTTAATTTTCAAACCATTTCTTACGATGAATTTCTATGCGTACGTACTAAACTTCTGCTCTTTTAATTCGTAAGCTAGTGTGTCCATTAATACTGGTAAAACCAACAAATTCTGTCAGATCAATGATTTTTATTATACACTCAACATTTATCTCATTAACGAGATTTAATTTCATGAATCGTTTTTACTATGGCGAGAAGTTAAAACTGCCCTAGCTATCTGCTTAATCTAGTATGTTAATATTACAGAGTAAAACCTACTATAATGTGTTTGGGTGAAAAGTAGATAGTTCGTCAAAATCGATAATCTCACACAAGTTCCTGATATTATAAGTATTCTTTTATTATTTTGCGTAAGTTTAACATAAAGTTCCTTTTTGCTATTGACTCTCTTATAGGAAATCATTTATTATTATTATTATTATTTTGTTGTGTGTTGATTGATACATCCATCTGTCGTATTTCTAGTTCTCATTTAGTTGAGCAGTCAAACTTAGCAAGCAGAAGTAGCATGCTAGTGTTGTCAACTATTAATAATGAACTCTATAGTTATTGTGTTAGTACCAGACTGGTTGCATTTTTCTGGTTTCCTCCCTTTAATAAATGCTAGAAATATTTTCAAAATAAATTTAACAATATATATGACTAATATTTCTTATAGGGATCTGGAATATTTATTTATCCCACCCCTAGCTCGTACTTACGAAATCGTAACTTGGTACATCAGTCATACTTGGACTCCTTAAGATTCTGGATGACAGATTTTCTTTAATTGAAACGAACGGTTAAACTTGTAGATTTATTGCTAATATTCAACAACCTATCACTAAAGATTGTACTGATACGTACATTCATAAGATAGCTTACAAATATCGATTAAGTATATCAATTTTCTTGAAGATTCTTTTCGAGAGATATTTCACTCAACTATATGCGTTTAAATTTGTGGGCCTTTTAAAAGAACGAATCGTTTCCTACTATTGATAGAATGAAAAGGGTTCTGAACATTCTTATTGAAAATTTGAGTTGCTTTGTATGGGAAATGTAATCTATAATTCAAAGTTACAACCAGGTACTAATCTACGAATGTATATCGTTTGATTAGGTAGAGCGAAGTACTCTTGCCTGCCAGAATCGATATTGCAATGTTGTGAGTGCACACTAAATGTTTACCCAATATACTAGTATTAGCATTTTATTTTGTGACGAACTATTTGTAGCATGTAGAGGTGAGGTGCTGCGTAAATTTATCATTACTATTAGTTTGAATTAGAAATCGTCAAATGAAAACTTTTGGTAATAATATCAATACTTGCAGGTCATTTTCGTATGACCTTGTTTTTTAGTGTGCATTATTACTTTGTTTTCTATTGGAAACTTTTCGTCTAGTATTGTGCACATACAACCAAAATCAATGGAATTATTTAACATTCAGTGTGTTTTTTATGGTTTAAAGTGTAAATACAGTGTGATTGATTAGAAAAGATTATTGAAAATAAACCGTCTCGTTATTTCTAAACACATACTCATTTCAGTCGAGACTATGTTTGACTCCTTATTCTGTGGTACGTGTGCTAGAATTTTTCGTTTATGCGCAATTACTCAATTTATACAACATAAATCAGATGGTTGTTCCAGACTAAGTTTTGGCAATCCGCTATTTTTGGAATGTTCTCACTGTGATGAATGTTATATCTCACCATTAGATCTTATTGCGCATGTTGAATGTGCACATAGAATATCCATAATGAAACATAGATCGTCAAGCATGGCTAACGACAGTAATGGATTCCTACAAGAAGTAATGTCAGTCTCAGACACAACAAGTTCATCCTTTATCGTCACTGAAGACAAAAGTAGCCATAACTCGATTAATTCAAACGATGGGAAGTTGGCACCCTGTCAGTCGGTGAGTCAAGTGCCATCAGTATTAAGTTCTTGCTCAACAAACTACAGTTCAGTGGGTCCTAGTAGCTCTATTCCTTCGGTCGTTCGTAAAACATGCTGTCTTGTGGATGGAAGTTCTCCCTGTACTCAAATGTCTTCATGTCCAATTTTGTTTTCTCGTGATTCTGATGGCGAAGCAGAATCCGAATTCAGAGATAATTCTTTGAAGGTCTCGAATACTTCAAACCCAGATACGACTTCGCTGTGTAATGAAGTAACTTACTGTACACAAACACCGCTTGTTTGTGGTGAACGGAAGTCACGATCGAATTTTATCTGTGAATACTGCAAAAGAGAGTTCTCACAAAAAGTACATTTACAAAAACATATAATGTCGACTCATACTAAAAACAAACCATTTAAATGCTCAGTCTGTTCTTACCAAACTGTCGAGAAAAGTCATTTAAAAACTCATTTCCGGAAGCATACGGGAGAAAAACCATTTTCCTGTACTCTATGCACCTACAGGGCAGCTCAACATTCTACACTAAAACAGCATTGTATTAAGAAACATCGTAATGCATTTCTTTCTTGCATAAACTGCAGCGTTCGTTTTGTAACACTGAACGAACTTGAAAATCATCAAAAATTATGTTTTCCTTAGCTCTACTCATGGTCATCAATATTTGATTAATCTTGATCTAAGGTGAATAATATAATCTTTTATCAATTGTATTTTGGTGTTTTGAATTGTTTTGTGTTAAAACATGTCTTATAATCAGCCCATAATATACATTAAACAACTACAGCTTTAATATAAAATAAAATACCTTTTCCTGATTCAGTTCTTTGGTCTGTTCTCTAAGCTTTTCTATAAGATTCATGGATTCATTTAGCTTTTTATCCTTGGTTTTTATATTTATATTTAATTAGGACTTACCACCTTCTTGCTGCTTTTGGAGTTCTCAGTATTTTTAAGATCAATTATCTCTTTTAAACTTTCAACTTCATCTTGCTTCTGTTTTATTTCATCAGCTTGCTGGTTCAATTTTTCTTTCAAAGACAACAGTTCATCTGTAATACTTTCATTTTGCTTCTGTAGCTCGATTTTGTGATTTTCCAGTCTTTGATTTTGTTCTTGAATATGCTTTTCCCTTAACTTTTGCTGTCCAATTTCTTGTCGTGAGTATTCTAATTGTATCGTCACATCATTTATATTATTAGTAAGCTGGATTTGCTTCAAAATACTTTTCTCCTTTTCTTGATTAAGATTAACCAACTGCCGTTTCAGTTCCTCATGGTACTCTTCTTTTTCCTAAGTGTATACGGAAACTAAATGTAGTATAAATGTTTCCCGGCATAAAATGCTTACTAGTCTTCATTGCATATTTAAAACGACCTTAAGTAGCTTTCTTATGTCCCTGTTGCTATCATTCCTAAGATTCTACTTATCGTATAGACCAACACAGCTAAAATGATGAACTCTGTTAATTATATGCAGAATTTTGAACTTATTTATAACCATTTCGTCGAACTGACCAAGTGAGTGCTGAGTAGATGTAATCTTTGAAAAATTACTGTGTTAAAGATTTATACGGTTTTGCGATGTCTCTGAAACACAAAATGAGCATCTAATGTATTTGCGAACCAAATATCGTCCATGATTTTATGCTCTTAGATTTCAGTGTTGTCACTAAGTCTATTAAAGTTGTCTTTTATAAATTACTCGTTTGTCGACGAAAACTAACAGGATTCTTCAAACGAGT